CTCAGTGACTGAGCTGACACTAGGTGGTAAGGGACATGCCAGGTGACCTGGTACCTGGGGGCATCAGAGGCCTCAGGGAGCCACAGGGGCCTTCCCAGGACTCAGGCCGAGGGGGACTTGGGGTTGTTGCGTGTGACAGATGAAGGCACCTGAGTCCTGGGTGGAAGCTGCTTGAGTCAGCTTGGTCCCCACGTGGACGAGCCCTCCGTCGGGCTGGGCCAGGACATGCCGCCCGCTGGGGTCGCAGAGCCCTGCCTGCAGGGGGAGCCGGCGCGGGAGGCTGGGGCCCCGCTGCCTGTGGGAGGCCCAGGCACCTCCTTCTGCTCTGCAGGTGCCAGCCTGCTCCCTGTGGGGTCCCTTCCCTGGCAGGTCGGTCCGGGGCTGTTGGTCCCCCGGGCAATCAGCGGGTCCCACCTGCAGTATTTCCCCAGAGTAGCCATTTCCAGCACGGCTGCTTTTCTTCCTTTTATCACTTTGAGTCCCCCCGCTTCCTCCCACCTACGCTCCACCCCACCAGGGCCTGGAGGTCCGCAGCACCCCTTTCCTTTCTTCCTTCCCCACGTCCCACGCAGAGCCATGCAAGTGCTGGGGCGGTGCTGCGGGTTTCGAGGTGAAAAGCCAGCCTGGGGTTTGGCCCAGGAAGCCAGTTGATAGCCAGGTGCCAAATGAAACGCCCTCATCCTCAGGGTACCTGGCTCCCCCGCTGTTACTCTCACTGTTAGGAAGTGAGGACGGAGGCCTGGCCCTCAGCTCTGAGGATTTCTGAGCTCGGAGCAGAGCCGGCTTGGTGGGCGAGAGACCCGTGCAGTTAGTGACACGGGGCCTTAGATCGGAAGGTCTCGTGATCTGCTGTCACCACCTGGAAACTCTTAGTCATTTGTGGGCAGGGCTTTCCCTTCACTTTTCCTGTTGTGCCCGGTCCTTCTCGGAGGTCCTGCGTGGTCAGCAGCTCCAGGGGAGGGGAGGCCGCCAGGCTGGGGCGGGAGTGGGGGCAAAGACGCTCGCCGACCCAGGCACTGCATGGAGCTGGCGGGGGCGCCTGCTCTGAGCTCCCAGCATCTGAGGTGGCACCTTGGCCCTCCTTTCAACACCCTGCAGCAGGATACTTCGCAGGACAGGGACCACTTGGTGGCAGGGGCCCTGGAAAGTCGGCCTCCCTCTGCTTGGATGACAAGCGGCATCTACCCCTCGGTCCCCAGCCTGTGCGGCCCACCTCAGGCCCACCCACCCTCACGGACTCTCGCTGCCCCTGTAACTCGCTACGACTCTCACATCATGTGACTCAGAGCTGGAGTCACCTGCCCGCTCCCTGCTGTCCTCCTGTCCTCCCCTGGGACACGCTAGTCAGCCCGCGCTCAGGGAGCAGGTGCAAGGTGCCAGGCCTGAGCTCGGAGCTTCACGTGTGTGGCCCCTTTCAAGTGAGTTCCTCGTGACATCTGTGGACTGGTGGTGGTGCACTAGGTGCCCCAAATCTGTCCCTCTTGTGTTTGGCTAAGATCTGGCAGGATATAGGATGGATTAGAGCGAGATTCCAGAAAGCGTCCATTCGATCAGCCTGGTGCTCTGTGGGCTGGAGGGACCCTGGATCCAAATAGAACTGTGCTTCCTGGAGCTCAGCGGTGTCACGTCTGTCACCCATCCTTTCAGAGCAGCCAGGCTGGGAAAAAGGAGGCAGGGGGCCCCGAGTTTGCATCCCTGCCCTCCCACGCCCTCTGTGCGGCTCTCGTGACCTCCCTTATCTAGGGGTGAGGCCGGCAGGTTCCTTCAGGCTCGGACACGGTGGTTCCGGGTCTCTGTCCGCGAGCAGCTTCTTGCTGTCCGACCTGAGTGTCTCCTGCTGCCTCCGCTCACCTCACTCCCATCAGGTGGGAACAGAGTCCCGTCTCGCCAGCGCTCTGGGATGTCTATGGCCAGGCGACCTGCAGACCACCTGCCCTGGGGCCTTGGAGGGAAGGGGCCCGGTCCCTCTGTCTGCTCTCCCTGCCTCAGCCCTGCCCTGAGTGTGGGGAGCAGTTTGAGGTTCAGCTGGTTCCCCAGGGCCCAGGCAAGCCCCAACCGGCCCGTGAGGTCCCTGCTAACCTGCTGTGTTCCCGCAGGTAAGGAGGGTCCTCAGGGATGGCGCGCGGAGCCCAGGCCCACGTGGAGAGAGGGCTGCTGGGGTGTTGACTTTATTCCAGGGCTTAATTGGGATAATTGCTCTCTCCTTCCTGCCAAACCAGAGTCCGTCTGGGCGGCTCTCCCACCTGCGGACGCGAGTTGCTCAAAAAGGTCTTTTAGTCCCAAGTAGCGATTCTGCTGGCTGCTCGAGGCTCCTTCAGCTCCCCCCTCACTTGCCCTGGAGGGCTGGGGACCCCAGAGCAGTGTGAACCCCGACTCGAGGGGCTGGGGAGGCTTCTCAGAGAGCGCCCCATCTGGCCAGGGGCTGGGCAGGGAGAGAGTGGGAGGGGCTTCTAGAGCCAGGCTGCTGACCCTCGGAGGGTTCTCAAGGTTCAGGGGTTCTTGGGGGGAAGAAGGGGGTGTCTCTCAGAGGGGAGAGGGGAGAAACTAGAAGCTGGTGCTGCTCCATTTTATTGGGGAGCCCACCTCGAGGGGATGTCTTGTCCTCACAGCCGAGATCACCCAAGGACCTTGATCGCTGGGTCCCCAGCTCCCCCAGAGGTCCCCAGGGCCCCCCGGCAGCCTCTCTGTTAGGTCAGGGAGTTCTGGGTGAAAGGCCCTGAGCTGTGTGCATTTGTCCGCATTTAACCTCAGAACAGCATCTGGGTGGGCGTGCAGTCACACCACGCAGCCGAGGAAACCAACCGGAGAGGCTAAGTGAGGAAGTGTGACAAGATCCGCCTGACGCTAAGCCCACGCCTCTTCCACGCTCTCTGGAGCCCCTGGGGTAGCACTGCCATTAAAAAAAAAACCCCACAAAAAACTGCAACTACTGCAGGGGGCCGACTTATTCTAAAAAATGATTCCTGGTTGATCTGAAATCAAATTTAACTGGGCATCATCCCAAATATTGCACGGGACATACTTATAGTAACATTATTTGTTATTTCTCCGAAATTCAAGTTTAAATGGGCGCCGTGTGTTCTGTGGGCTAAATCCAGCCATGCCGCCCTGGGTCCTCGTGCGCTCCAGCCGTCCGGCCTGTGTGGAAGCCTGGGCTCCCGGCTCACCCTGTCGTGCGCTCGGCCTGACGGACGCTGTCCCTGTGACCCCCTCCCGCCCCCCGTTGGCCAGCCCTGTCTCCAGGCTGTGGCACTTCCCTGTCCTGCTTGCCTGGCTCCCTGACAGAAGCCCTGCCTCACCCCTGGTGGCCTCAGCCCCTGCCTGCTCGCTCTCTGGTTCCCGCCCCCTCCCCGCGGCCCCCAGGGCTCCAGGCCCAGTCACTTGTCCCACAGGCCTTTCCTGAGGCCCAGGGCCCCGTGCCGCGTGCCGCCACGCGCCGCCACGCGCCTGCCACCACGCTGCACTGTGGCTGTCAGCCTGGCTTTGCCGCTGGGTTGGAGGCTCTGGGACGAGGGGCAGGGAGCTCTGTTTTTTGTGGCTGATGTGATCCAACGCTTCCCAGACCTGTCTGTGCCAGGGGACATCAGGGCGTTCTTTACAAACAGGTCCCCCCACCTCTGAACCGCAGTCTCCTGGGGAGGGCCTTGGAGTCTACATTTGCCCAAAACGCCAGGCCAACCAGCCACAGTCAGACCATCAAGGGCCAGCGACCCCCACTGGGGGACCACGGCGGCAGTGACGGGCCTTGCTGGCAGAGGCACTCACCGAGGGGTTTGTGGTCCCATCAGGTCAGGTTTGGTGTGGGTGGGAGGTCTTTGCTGACTGCCCTTTCAACTGTGTCCTGGTCAGCTCAGTGTTGGCCTGTCCACCCAGGGCCCCCTTGCCTGAGAGCTGGGGACATTCCCCAGTGGCACTTGGGACTTTCGGCAAGAAGGGCACCGGTGGAACGGCTTAGGGATGAGACAGAAGCTGTGCTGGACCTTTCGTGAGTGGACAGTGCTGTTGGGACGAGAGAACGTCACCTGTTCCCGTCCCCCACCCCAGCCACATCAGTTCTTCTTTGGGTTCGGATGAAGGAGCCCTTGGGGCCTTTGGGGATGAGGGTTGGGGTGTCCGTGGCTCAGCTGCCCACGTGGGAGAACCACGCCTCAGGGCAAAGCCTGTTCTCGAGAGTGAAGTCCAGGCATAGATCTCCGGTCACAGGCCAGCTTGTCTGGTCCCTGGGGGACCAGTGCACAGGATGATAGGTTTCAGCCCACGTTCAAGCCCAGGAGCAGACGGGAGCACGCTGATAAGGGATGTCGGCTTGGGCACATCTGTAGGTCTAAGATGGGCAGGTTCCTGGCTTTGTGGGCTGCCGAGGCCTCCTGGACCCCCCATCAGAAGCTTTCGTGTCACCTCAGAACCCCTGGTGGCACAGGCAGGGTCACCCCCATCTGTTCTGAGAAGTAGTGTATCGAGGACTCCGGTGGTGGCATGTGGGGCCCCGTAGGCCACCAACCGAGCAAGAAGCCCCAGGACTTTGGCAGGAACCCATCAAATTACTGGGTCCCAGAGGGGACAAGGAGCAGGTGGCACTGGGGTTGGGTGACGTGGTGGCTGCATCTTCGAGAGCATCTCCTATGGCTAGGGGAGGGGATGTCCCTCTGTCAACGGCAGGACATGCTCATTACATGGCCTTGGAGTGGACGTGGGTGTGGAGAACCGTGTCCCACTGAGCAGGGAGCCATGGGAGCCTGTGTGTGTGTGTGTGTGGGGGGGTGCTGTGATTCACTCGGGCCTGGGCTCAGCCTTGGGTCTGAGGGGGAGTTGGTGCCATCGTAGGGACGTATGGCATAAAGGATCAAGAACTGGGATGGAGGCGAAATCTGGAAACTTGTCACCGCTTTAGTCCCAGGGTACCTCGAAGCCTGTGGGGGCCCTGGCTGCCCCACCCATCCCAGTCCCAAGCTCGGCCTGTGTCCTGCCCTGCACTGACCCTCTCTGTCCTCTCCCACCAGGCGCCTGGATGCCAACCTCATCTCACTGGTCCCGGAGCGGAGCTTCGAGGGGCTGTCCTGCCTCCGCCACCTGTGGCTGGACGACAACGCACTCACGGAGGTCCCTGTCAGGGCCCTGAACAACCTGCCTGCCCTGCAGGCCATGACCCTGGCCCTCAACCGCATCAGCCGTGTCCCCGACTTCGCCTTCCAGAACCTCACCAGCCTCGTGGTGCTGTGAGTATGCTCTGCCCCCCCACGGGGTCCCCCCTATGGAGTCCTGCTGGTGCCCGATGGCCTTGCCCTTCTCTCTGAGTTACTGGACCCTCTGGTCTCAGTTCCCCCTTTGTAAAATGAGGCTGTGACTCGCACCCTGTTGACCCCATGGGGTTGTCATGGAGCTAAGTGACGTTAAGACTATAGACGTGCTCTGAGAGTTCAGCACCGTAAGCAGAAAGCAGGATTGACGTGTTATCTCCTCACCACGCAAATGTGAGGACATCTTGCTAATGGAAATCAAGCCAGCAATTCCTGAAATGGTTTGCACCACCCCTGAGAGCCAGGTGGTGCTGTTTTATGTGCGGGCACGATTGAGGGGAGCGTAAACTCACCTGAACTCCCAGGCCTGAGAGGCAGGTAGAAGCCATCACTGGTAATTACCTGGGAGATAGCATCCCTGGCAGGAATCGGGCGTGGGGTTAACGCGCCTTCCCAGTGGAAACTTCAGAGGCAAATTAGCTGCCAGCTAATTGCTATGAGTGATTGGTAAGTTCATGGGGAGATTACTAAGGGCTGTAGGCCATGCGTAATTGTTTCGGGCTCCACACCGGCTGCTGCCAGAGCCCGTGTGCTGGTGGCTCTGCCCGTTGCCCCCCGTACTCTTGGAAATCTGGTGTGATTTTCTAAACCAGAGAACGGATGACGCTGAGCTCCATCTGAGAGATGAAAAGGCAGGTACCAATTTTCTCGTCTAGTTCTGTGCTGGGAGACCGGAGAACCTAGGTGAACATGCTACGGACCACGTCCTGCTACCAGGGTGGTCGCCCATCCCGGGGCCTCTGGGAGCCGGTGGGGACTTACGGGGGCGAAGCGAGCAGGTGTGTAACACCCCATGACACCCCGAGGCAGCGGGCTCAGGGCTGCCGGAGAATGAGAGCCTCGTGATGGGTCCCCCATGAATGACCAGACGCATTTACAGAGTCTGCGTGGAACGCAGCTGCCGCCCTCCAGGGGCGACGGGCTGGTGGGAATAGCAGGAGAGAGATGGGAAAGGACAGCTACTGATTCGCGGAGCTTGGGCCAAGTGAGCCCAATGATGATCAGGTTCCTTGTAGTGGGTGGGCCTGGGGAAGGTGGTAAAGAAGGCGGCAGTCCCACAGGTGCCAATAAAGACCCTCAGGAGAGTCTGGTGCAACTAGGCCAGCGTGGCAGGAGCGGAGTGTGGGAGAAAAGCCCAGAAACGTGAGTTTGGGCCTTACGGTGCCAGAGCACGGAGTGTGGCTTTGTCTGCCGGTGGGGCAGGGAGCGGAGGTCCGAGCAAAGGTGTGGGGGCGTCTCACGCTCAGGTGGAAGGAGGGCTGGGGGCGGGGAGGGTCAGGAGGCTCTTGTGAACCCACCAAGTCTAGCAGGCACAGGTGGCCGCGGGCTGGGGGGAGGCACGCCTGTGAGGGACGTCTGCGAGGAAGAAGCGACTCGATCCAGAGGCTCTCAGAGGGCGGAATGGCCCCGCCGCTTCTCTGGGACCCGGGGAGCTGGGAGCTCAGCTGCGGCAGCTCAGGAGGGAGCCGCCCACCGGGCCTGAGGACGGGCGAGGGGCGAGGGGCGAAGGAGAGAGAGGCCACCGTGCCGGAGGGCAGCCGCGGAGGACCGCTGGCCCCTCGCCTCCGTCCTCCACCTGCCTGCCGCTCACGGGGCTGCAGGGGAGAGGCTTCCGGGAGCAGGTGGCCTGTGACGGGGAGGAGCTGGAAGGCTGTGCAGAGACCGTGGGTGGGCTGCTGAGGCCCAGGAGGCAGATAAGGACGACTGGGAGTGACAGGAAGTAAGAGGACACCCAGGTGGCGGACAGGGGTCTGGCTGGAGGTAAGGGAGAAGGGGCGGCCACCGGAACCCCGACTGCCACCGCTGCTGTGACGTGGGGGAGCCCCTTCCTGTCACTGCCGTGGCACTGATGGGACCCAGGGCAGCACTGAATCGGTCAGCAGTGGAGTCATGTGCGTAAATGCTGTCCCTTCACCTGGACAATAAGCACCACCACCCTGCCCCAGGCGGGTGGCCAGAGGCGCCCAGGACCCCGGCTGAATGGCTGGTTTGGGGGGGTCAGAGGCTGGGGGCTGGGATTTTGGAAAGCAGACAGTGTGGACCAGAGGTGCAGCAGGGCGGGAGGGGTGGGAGATGGAGACAGTCCAACAGGAGGCAGGCAGGAGTGACAGTTTGGGGACAGTGGGGGTAGAGGCATGAGGAGATGGAAACAGTGGCCCGTCGGTGAGGGGTCATAGTTTTCTTCCTGTCAAATCAGAAGGTCCCCCTCAGAGGGGTCTGTCCCGACTGGGACCTGATGGGGCAGGTGGGCAGGACATGCGGGCCCCAGGCCCCTCCAGGCCCCCAGGCTGACCTCTTCCCGTGCTGTGGTCCCTGAACTTGAATAGCTGCACTAGAAGATGTCGGCGTGTAGCCTAGCCCGCGTCCCACTTCCTGGAACAGTGTATGCTTCCGAGCCGCACAAGCCACTCTGGCCTCATTGCAGAGGATTTGCTTTTGTAGTCTGTCTCTGAATACTTCTTCTGTCTCGTGTTGGAGTCCCCCCCTCAGAGACGCCAGCCGCCCTTGTGTGGGATTCCCTCGATGCCGCCTACATCCATTTAGGCCTATTTCAACCTCCTTGTCTCCACCCGCAAAATCCGCTGGGATTATCTCACCCTTTCTCTGACTCCAGTTTTCAGCAGCGTCTGTGCGGGTGTTTCAAATTTATTGACTCGTTTTTCACTAATGTGGTTGGGGTCCTCAGCCAGCTTCCTCCGTCTATGATGTCATTTCTCCTTTCATTTAAAAAATGGTCGTCTTTGAAATGCTGCTGTGTGGATGGCTTTGTAGCAGAAGCCACGGACGGTTTCTGTCTGTTCCTCACCTGTGACTTACTTGTCCCCAGGCTCGGACCTGTGCATCCCCATGTCCTCTCCCTCTGTCTCGCTCTCGGGCTTAGATACCTGTCCACTCATTCTAGCTGCGTCATCGCGGGGTCCAGTCCAGAGGTCCAGTGTTTGGGTGGTTTTGCGGGTCACTTGGGTCCCCTCACTTGGCTGAGCCCTGGGGTGGGGCGGTGGGGGGCTCAGAGTGGTGTTGGGCTCCATCAGACCGCTGGGCTCTGTGCTGCGGCCACGTAGGTTCAGAGCGTCAGCCGCCTGAGCCACACCCCACCCAGGAGCCCCCTGGGCTCCCAGCCATTTCCTCAGTTCAGCAAGGAGCCTGGCGCTGGCTTCCCTCCCTCACCCGTTCCCTGTGGAAGCCAGGTGGGGAGAGCGCCAAGAATGTCCACGGAGCTGCTTCTCTTTAGATTTGGGGTTTTAGGGCGAATTCTCCCACTTTTGTTTCCGTGCCGGTTCCGTGGCACCAGTTTTGCAGTTTGTTTACCTTAGGTGACGTCGCTGTCCTTGCTTTGTTGCGACTGTACTATTTGGGGCGAGGGCAGGGATCTTGTTTTTGCTGTTTTGCTCATTTCATTAGAAATTGGGAGAGGAACGTTCTGTCTCTTATTTTCAATTTGCTATTTTTACGCCGGAAGTCTCCCCCGAGCTGATCCCTTTCCGCCCCGCGGCCCGTGTGCGCCCTGGCCAAGCCCTTCACCATCCTGCACCTTGGCGCCCACTGTCCCCTCTGCCTGAATGCCCTTCCCTCTGCTTGTCCAGGTCCCCTACCCGCCCAGACCCTGCTCTGGTCACCGCCTCCATAAAGCCCTCCCGGACTGCCCTAGCCGCACCAGTGTCCCCCTCAGAGCGCGCCTGCAGCTCCCTCCAGCTGTACCAGGAAGCTTGGCCCTTAATTACATGTTGTCTGCCGTGGTCGGCTGTCGGCTCTCATAAGTGCGTCTGGACACTGAGTCAGGACAGCTGGGTTCTGGGGAGCAGGACCTCAGACTGAGCACCCCTCACCCTCTGTGGACAGCAGACCTCTGTCTGAGAACTTCGTGGGGGCCTGGGGCATTCCTTTCCCTTCAATCGCAGTCAAAACAGTGTAGCCCGTGGTCAACCAGCCTTGGAGACTGTGACTTCCGAGGTTGTCACTGGAGACCAAGCGCTGGACCGCGGGGGCCACTGCCTGTTCCTGCCTCTGCCTCCCTCCTGACGTCACCGCCTGCGTCCCTCCCCCACCCGGCCCAGGGCTGTGGCTCCCCGTGTGATGTGTCCCTCCTTCCCACAGGCATCTTCACAACAACCGCATCCAGCATCTGGGGACCCACAGCTTCGAGGGGCTGCACAACCTGGAGACGCTGTGAGTGGCGGGTTGTGGATGGAAGCCAGGCGTGGGGGGAGGGCAGGGGGGGCCGGCAGGACTGGGCGCTGGGGTCCAGCTGCGGGCCTGCTCACCGTGCGACCGTCCCTGCCCCTCTCTCCGGCATGTCACCGGAACGAATGCCTTCCCTCTCAGGTGGAACGTGCCCTGTGGGAGCTCAGGGTGGCCCAGAGCGCACCAAAACAATGAGGGTGTTCATCAGAAATGGAAGCAGCGAGGAGAAGCTAGGAGAACGGGGTGTTAAGCTTGGGGAATGGCAGGCTTGGGAGTGCGGCTGGGCTGACTCAAGGGCAGTGTGACATCTGTGTGTGACGGTGGCTGCTGACGGCGGGAAAGCAATACCACAGAGTAATGCTGGTGCTGGTTGCCAGTTAATCTCACCAGCTAAGTGATTAATGGGGGATGGCCCCCTCGGCACTCCCGCCTGACGATAAAAAGCACCCAAACCGTTGACTCTTAAAGAGCCATATTGTCCACAATTCATTGTCCTGCAATTCTGTTAAGGTCAGAAAGCACCTAAACCGTCCACCTGGAGCACCGCCAGCCCCTACAGAGCAGGCCTGGGGGCCCCATTTGAACAAAGAACTGCTCTGGCCACGCCAGCTGGGGTCCCTCAGCTCCCAGGAGGGTGGGTTGCACAGGACCTGGTGCCAGCCTAGAGGGCAGCGCTGGGGACAGACGGACCCAGGGCACCAGGGTTGGGGAAGGGCTGGCAGTGCCAGGAGCATGGTCAGTTCTCTCATCCCCAGGACATGCACCAGAGCGTCCCTCCTGAGGTGACGGGTTTTCAAGAAGCCAGAGTAGCAGAGGGAAAGTGCTGGGGACCAGCTGTGGCCCGAGGAGGCCACGCGCTGGGGGAAACCATTTGGTGCATGTCTGTGTTTGTGGTTGTGGGGGGCGATGGGGGACAGAGACGACCCTCCGCTCCCCGTCCCATGGGCAGGAGACCCAGGAACACGCTGCTCTCTCAAGCTCAGCCCGGAGGAGGAGGATGGCCGAGCTGGGTCCAGCTGCCCCTCAGCTGACTGCATGCCCAGCCTGGGGTCAGGAGAGTGGGAACTGAGGGGGACCCGCTCCCCCCACCCACCCCGTGGCCCCAGGACAGTCTAGTCGTCTTGGTCAACTGCTAGAAAACTGACATCCTAGGAAGTTAGTTCCTACAGGGGACCGAGCAGGCCCAGGCCGGTGTGTTAGCTGAGAACACAGACCTCGGAGTCACTAGCTCAGTGCCCTGCTGCCTCTGTCACCTGGTCGAGAGGGAACTGGGCAAAGTGTTTGGGGAGCCCAGAGGGAAGCCGGTGCCCCCACAGCCACCTCTTAGGGATATAGAGCTTTGGGGGTACCAGGCAAATGCATAGCAGGAGGGGAGTCTGAGGTTACCTGCCCCAGGTGTGGGGTGTTCACTCTGCTGGGCAGTCAGTAGGAGTATATGTGCTGGGTGTGGGCACCTATTTAGAGAGCCAGCGATTTCTTCACTCTGGGGCACGCTGCCTGACGCTTTCTCAATGGGCCAGTGGAGGGCTGCGCTGGCACCTGGTGCCGCTGGTGCTGGCTGGAGCACAGAGCAGCCTGCCGCCTGGCACCCGCCACATCTTTGGTCTGCGGGGGCACGTGGCCCGCCACGCAGAGCCCTGAACCCACAGTACAGATGGGGTAGCCAAGGTGAGGGACAAGAGAAGTCCCCGCAGTGGGCACTGTGGAGGCAGAGTTGCCTGGTGACAGAGGCTTAGACATCCTGGGATGTGAAGCCAGCTCTTGGTCCGTCCGTGTGACCTTGGTCGCGTCATGGGCCTCTGTGAGTCTGCTCTCTAATCTGCAGTGTTGGTCTTCGTGGGGCGGCTGTGTGGGTGACAGGAGAGGTAGGTGTCGGGACTCGGTCCTGCGCTGCCTCCTGGGTCCGTCCTCCCCACGCTCCAGGGACCAGCTCCTCCAACGTTTGATCTCCAGTTAAAGGGGAGAGTGTGTTCTTTGTCCTCTATCCCTGAGCGCTTGTGGGACAGCCAGGTGCGGAGGGGAGGGGCTGGAGCATGAAAGGAGAAAAAGTCAAACCTTTAATTGTTGCGTAATTGGCACGCATTGCAGCCGCCTTATTACTTTCCTCCCTCAGGCGTAAATCTCTGCCACTTACACCTCTCTCATCTCCCGGCAGAGGGAAGATCAAACCGCTGCTGTGGTTTGGCTCCTCTTAGGACGGGAGGGAAGCAGCACCCAGCCCTTCCACCTGGGGAGGGGGGCCGGCCGGTGCACAGGCGGGGCCCCAGAGCACACCGTGCACATGCAGTGCACACGCACGCGGCTCTGGCCTGCAGACGCCGGATCCCAGCACAGCAGAGACGCTCTGCCCTGGGAGCTGGGGGCCAGCCAGCTCTGCCTGTGCTAGCCATTGGGCCAGCAGTGGCCGCAGCTCGGAGCCTGGCGGGCAGCGCAGAGGGACAGGGCTCAGCAGACAGCCATGCGCCCTGCACCTTTTTGCTCGAGGGCCAGGCAAATCCAAGTTGGGGGGGCGGGGCAGAGTGCAGACGCAGGGCCCCAGGCACAAGCCTTGCTGCAGACTCTCAGGAAGCCTGATGTGCAGGGAGGGGCTGGGGACCTGGCTCCGCCTCTCCTGAGCGGCCTTGCTAAGAATGCCCAGTGGGAGGCGGACAGGATGGACTCCATCCTGCAGGCTCGCCTCCCTTCTGCACCCCCACCCCCCATGAGGACGCCTCTACTGTGGGGAGCTTGAGAACCAGAGGTGTGCCGGTCCCCAGCCTGTGAGGTGTTATTTCCTCCACTTTCCAGATCAGACCAAATCCAGACGTTTGGGGCAAGTTGCCCGTTTCTAGAATTTTTAGGCGATGGTAGGCCGCGGGCCCCCGCCTTTTGCCTCCTATGTTGCTCCTGCAAGGTCAGGTGGATGACAGGACGTCCCAGGCGGCTAGGCTGACCAATAGGAGGCAGGACCCAGAGCAGCTCTGGGAGGGTTGTCCCGCCCCCGTGCCCTCAGGTCAGGGCTTGGCGATGCTCAGAGGCCAGGGGGCCCACAGGAGCCCCTGTGCGGGCCGGACCTTCCCTTTGGAGGGAGCCTGGGGCCGAGGTGGGGATGGCGCCTCTGGGCTCTGGCCGCCTCCCAGTCAGGCCGGCCAGGGTTTGCAGGGCTCCGCCACAGAGCGCAAACAGAGCAGAGGCCCAGATAAGCCTGCCACCTGACCTTCAGGCCATGCTGACCACCCTGCGAACGCCCCACACGTGAGAGGATGAAAAGTGCTTTTGTTCTCAAAGGCTGTCGCGTCTCGCTTGTCTTTCCCCCCCCCCGCCTGTTTAGGAGACAGGGCAGGAGCCGCGCGCCCTCGTGTCGCAGGTGGGGAAACTGAGGCAGAGAGGCCGCCGTGCCCGAGGCCGTCCAGTTAGTGAAGAGCCGACTAGGTGGCGGCCGTGGCCTCTGGCCATTGTCAGCCGGTCCCACCACGGCCTTCCAGGTCCCCCCCCCCCAGGGGCTGCAGTGTCTTCCCTCACAGCCCTTAATCGGCTCACATTTGTGGGTTTATTAGCTGCAAATGTATGGGGTTTTGTGGCTTATCCAGGAATTTATTGTTCCGTATAAAATGGTTTTTTTCTGGCTTTCCCTGCAGAACCACTAATGATTTCTAACAGGCAGAAAATTGAGCTGCCGGATGAGTCCGTCCTGCGTCTGTGACCACGACATGTTACTAATCCTTCCCCGTCGCCCCGGCGCTGGGGGTGGCCAAGGTGTCCCCTGCCGGCAGTGGGGCCGAAGCTTCCACTCTGAGCCCCCTGCCCCCACAGTTGCCCCCCCAGAGGGTGTGGAATGGAGGTGGAGGGAACTCGGGGGGGGGGCATGAAAACCATGGGCAGCAGGGCCCTGGGGGGGCCCTGGCTGGGAGACTGAGATGCTCAGGTGTGTTGGTGGGAGTGAGGGGCTGGTGAGAATCAGTAACTGTCCCTCTGTCTCCTGTTTCTTTAGAGTCACTCCTGCCATAAGTATTTATCAAGCTTGTAGAATGTTCCAGGCCACCATCCTAGGCCCTGAGAAACATTTGGGAACAGGAGAGTGTAGTTGTGCTCAAGGGTTGTTGGCCAGGCGCCCTGGACGATCTCACCTTTAAGTTCCCCCCCTCGCCCCCCCGGTCCATCCTCACTGCGATGCAGTCTGCGGCCCACAGCTCTTCCCTGAACCCCAGACTTCAGTGTCCACCCGTGGGTCCTGTCACAGCCTGTGAGATAGCACAGCTGTCCCGTGCTCTCTAACTCGGAGGAATGCCCTGGGCGTGGGCTGAACCCCCCTGGGGTTGTCCCTCATCCCCTTCCCACAAGCTCTGTGGTTGAGAACCCCAGGGCCCTGACTTGACACCAGTGAGGTGAGGTCTCTAGGACAGACCATCCGGCCACATTCTGCTCTGGCCAGCAGCACCCCAAAGCCAACATCTGGAGGACTGGGTCCTGCTGTGAGTGTCACATCGTAAGAGTGACAAGGGCTTTTCTGGGGAGAGTGGTGAGGAGATGAAACGTCTCCAAACCTTGATTTGGGGAACCTGGGAGCAGCCGTAGGCGGAACATGGTGACTGCTCCGGGAAGGCAGATTGCATGTGTCTTACGATCTTCCAGCGACGGGGTGAGGCCCGAGGGAGAGACACGAGTGGCCCTCCAGCTCGGGACGAGAGAGGGTTTCTTGACCGGCACAGCAGCAGCCCTGGACACCGCTGAGATGGCGCTGCTGGTGGCAGGTGGACTGTCACCTCTCAGCCCCCGTCTGAGTCCTGGCTTCACAGATCCTAGTTGCTTCATTAGAGAACAAGTCCTCTCAGGACCAGGGACCAGCCACTCCCACTGAAACCCGATGCTCTGGCTTCAGGTGTCCTCTGCGTTTTCTGGCAAGGACGAGAGCGTGGGTGGAGGGAGACCAAGATGGAGCCTGTCTATATCTCTCAATAGAAACTGATGGCAATTTTACTAATTGCCGCATTTATTAATGGGTGGCC